TATTCACCTAGTACAGGCTATGTTTAACGCTGCCAGGAGACATAGGGAAATAAACGCAATGTTAAACTACGCAGCAGAAAGGCACGTGCAACTACGCCGGGCTAACATCCGGGACGAGGCAGGAAAGCGGAAACAGCTGAACGTCACGTGAGGTAAATATGCGTTACGTCAGAATTTATTCGACAAACATGTTTCCATCTACCGTTTTGTGCATTAACTACTTTGCGAATCATCCAAAAACCACCTCAAGCGAGCGTAAAAACTTTTTAGCGAACTGAGGATTTTTTTTCAAATTTTGCTGTTTCCATCAGACTTTTTTCGCATTTTTAATGCGACACTTCTAAATGCGCGTCAAAAAGCCTTGATGGAAACACGGTTACAGACATCAGTGAGGGGTGTTTCTGTGGAAGTTGTTTTGTTGATGTATACAGAGTTAATATAAACACATCTGGGCTCAGGCACAGCGCGTGCTCCGTCTGTTGGTTCTGTTCACATCAAAACCTCTCATTCAGAAAATCAACCGAGTGTCCAAAGAAATTCTGTTGATTCTTCAGTTTTTGTTTAAATATGAATTAAAAAATAAAAACTCAACAGTTCCAATGCAGTGTTGCAACTCTGCAACTTTCATCAGTTTTCACACAGACTGAGCTCTGCTTTTTATCACAACAGAAGAAAAACCCTTCTGTGTCCAAACATACAAGCTTCCTCCAGGGTTTCTGCAGGAGGAGACCTGAGACGTGCAGCTCTGCACAACAGATTACATGTAACTCTGACTAAAGCAACATGAACCAGACGTTATGCATAAATCTAAAATTTGATTAAGAAACAATAATATCAGTTTACCCTCCTCAACGTTTTGCAACATGAGCATAAAATTTCGGCAGCAGAATGATTTACTGAAATAGTCTGGACTGTGTGAGCTTAGTGTTGGACAGGATCTATTAAACATAGCAGTTATTGTAAATGCACTGAGCCCACAGTGAATCTGCTGACTCATGTTTTCACTAGAAGGGATCTGATCTGTTAAGATCCTGGTGGGTTAGTCTGGTCACTGCTCTGTTTCTGACACATAGGAAAGACTGGCTTCAAATCCAGAAGGATCTTTTACTATTTGTGAAGATACAGTACCCTCCACAAGTATTGGAAGATCAAGTCCAATTCCCTCAGTTTTGTTGTTCACTGAAGACATTCGGGTTTAAGATCAAAAGATGAGACAAGAGCTCWGAATGTCAGCTTTTATTTCCTGGTATTTACATACAGGTTCTTCTAAAAAAATTAGCATATTTTGATAAGGTTTATTATTTACTGTAATGTACTGATAAACATTAAACTTTTATATATTTTAGCAAAGCAATAGAAAGTATACTGTTAAGAGCCAGATTTAGGTTGTCTTTTTACAAATTGTATTTATTAGATAAGAAAATGAAAACATTTTTCCAGAGTTATAAATATTATTTTACGTTACTTTTCATGTGTTCTGGTTTAGGTAAATAAAGAGAATTTATTATAGGTCATTTAAAGAACTGTTTTTCTTCTATAGAAATCCAACCAGTAAGACATTTGTTCTGTAACAAATGACACTAAGGTTAGTTTTCTTTCCTGAGGTAAGAATCCCAGAGACACACAAACATCCCTGTCCTCCACAGCTGAGTGTGTCCTGCCCTTAAAAAGGCAACAACACACACATCACCTCACGCCWCACTGAGGAGGAGCGGCCCAGAGAAGACGAAACACCCAGACAAGATATTAACGTTTGTTCATGAAATTGTTTCTGTTAAACCCTGAGCTGATGTCTGACATGATGGTCACGGAGGGAGTTCTGTCCAATCAGCTCATTCTGACACTAGCTGTGTTTCCATTCACCATGAAAATGCGCAAATTAGAATTTCTAAAATAAATTTGCTCAATGGAAACACGTCAATTTCGAAAAAATGTTTTTCAACAAATTGTTTTTGCACTAGGATGAGGTGGTTTTTCGGCCGTATCGAAATTGGTGTTTTTTGCAAAACTTCAATGGNACTCTGAGTTTAACAGGTTAACTCTGAGTTTAACAGATTTAACTCTGAGTTTAACAGGTTAACTCTGAGTTTAACAGATTAAATCTGAGTTTAACAGATCAACTCTGAGTTTAACAGATCAACTCTGAGTTTAACAGATCAACTCTGAGTTAAACAGATTTACTCTGAGTTTAACAGATCAACTCTGAGTTTAACAGGTTAACTCTGAGTTTAACAGGTTAACTCTGAGTTTAACAGATTAAATCTGAGTTTAACAGGTTAACTCTGAGTTTAACAGATCAACTCTGAGTTTAACAGATCAACTCTGAGTTTAACAGATTAATTCTGAGTTTAACAGGTTAACTCTGAGTTTAACAGATCAACTCTGAGTTTAACAGGTTAACTCTGAGTTTAACAGGTTAACTCTGCTCCACTAGTTCTTCAAGCTGTGCTGCATTCAAACACTGTGGGAAAACACAGTTGCTGTTCTGTTTTTCAAATTAAACACTGAAAAGATTTTTGTTTTTCTTTACGTTGTGGTTTCATCAGTCGAGTTGTTTATATTGTTTCTACCAACAAGTGGAAAGTTTCACAGAAGTTTAGTTTTAATCTGAGATCTTCATCAGAAGGTCCTGAGGATGAGGAGCGGGGTATGGAATAAATC